GATAAATATAATGAAATTGTTTGACTGGCATAAGTTTTGTTTTTTGTTTTTTTGCTGCAGACTGTGCCATTTTAAAATAAATGTTGTATTATGACTCAGTTCTGAAACTTGATTTGAATGATTGCAAAACTRCATGCGTTTTCAGTAATAACTCAACCAAGGTTTACTTTGTGGGTGTGCTAAGAAAGCTTTCTGTTTTATTTCTTGTTTGCCAGGATGGGATAAATTACTGCTTATTTTTAAATTATGTTAAACTGGGCTTGCCAGCATATTGTTGCAGACATTGCCCAAAGTAATTTCACTGAATGGTAACTGGAGCAGTAGCCGCATTCTGACACATTTCCRGGTTTGTTTCTATTATCTCTTGGTGGGAAAATGTGACACAATATTCAAAATCGGGACTTATTTCAAAACAAAGACAGCAGACTGTGAAACACCAGCTGAGCTCTCAGCTGATCCAGACAAACAGCAGATTGGTCATCTTTAAGAGGCTAAAAATGCCTGCAAATATTCTCTTGAATGCTTTGGTTTGAAAGTGAAATGGTAACAGTTTTAAACACCTTATTACATCTCAGTTAAGAGTAGTTTGGTTCAGTTCTTTAACATGCTCTTCATAGACATTAACCCACATAGCAAAAACATAAATAAAATTGCAATGTGCTTGTCTAATACAAAGTATTTTTGGAGCAGAATTTCTGCAAGCCTGCTGCTGAGATACCCTCAAAAGGCTATTTACCACAATGAACAGAAAGAAAATATAATATGATGAACAGTTGACCTTTAGAGACTTGGAGACAGTTTGTATTTTTCCACCCAATGTAATTGCATTACAGTTCATTTTCTGGTCAAGTGACTTTGGAAAGATAAAGTCAAGAAAGAGGCAGCAGCACAGCAGTGATTTACATGTTGCAGAGGTGGTAAGATAAGACTTTGAACTGTTTCCCGAGGCAATTTAATGCAGAATATAGCAAATGGAAAATATTATTAACGCTTTAAAGATTTTCATTGGTGCTTTTTTATTTTTTTCTTGCAGAGTACAGGCCTCATCCAAATCTGCTTATCGGCTGTTAAAATACAAGAGCTTAAATAACGATGGGGTTGTAAATAATTCACCACGTTCTGTGTTTAGCAAGACGTTACATTCTAAGGTAGAGAAAATTTAGGACACAGACTGGTTCTTTCTGTTGTTCTAACGTGCGCACACATTCAGGTGAAACCAAGTGAATCATCTGACCCAGATTCTGTGTCTCTCCTCCCCTCTCTGTCCACAGCCGTCGCCCTGTGAATGGTGCCGCTGCGAACCAAATAACGAGGTACACTGTGTGGTGTCAGACTGCGCCGTCCCAGAGTGTGTCAACCCTGTGTACGAGCCGGAGCAGTGCTGCCCCATCTGTAAAAACGGTAARCACACATTTCCTTCGCAAGTCAGTGTGCGATTCTTTTAGGGTGATTACCTTTTTTTTTTTTAAATAAACCACCGACAAAAAAGTTTAGATTTGAGATCTGTGTCTTTGAAAGATGGGGATGTCATTAATGTTTTAGGTATTAAAATGATTGCATTTGGCCCGTTAGACACTAATGAGCAGTACTAGTTTTAATTATAAATGACACACTAAGCAAAGTAAACATTACCCCATTGATTAAAGACATGGGAGGAAGAACTAATGGGTCCTTAGAGGGCTTTTTATCTTCAAGTGCCCTGGTGCCCTTGTCACACACAGCCAATCCCTAAATTAGAACTATAGGATTCCAATGGTTCATCGACTATTTACAAGGTGAGATGGGTGGCTTCCCTTTGCAAGTAGCAGTCCTGTGGGACAAATTGAGCTTTATGAGTAAAGTAAAATACCTGCAAATCTGCAATATGAAGCCGTCTTGAATGATCAGTAGCAAAGAGCACTTTGGGTAATATCAAATTCATAGCCTAAACGCAATGCCGCATTCTTAAGCACACTACAGTACAGAAAGAAGAACCTGATAACTGATTGTATTTTGTTGATTTTTTGCTATGATGTCTGTCATTATAATCAAAAGTGTTTATTTTTCTTAACAAAGCATAACTTGAACATTTAGCTTTTTGATGAAACTGCCGGCCTCAAAGTTATTTCAACACCCATGTCCACATTTTTGTCTTTGTTTTATTTTGTGCATACCTGCTTTTATCTCAAGACATGCTTGCACAATAAAATAAAAAAAACAGAAACATCCCTGCAGAAGCTGTTTGAATAGACATAATCCTGTCCGACAGGACCCAATGACACCCTTGGCATTTCAGGGAAAGCCTGCTGTTTCTAGGTGCCCCAAGGGACTCTGGTCAGAGCCTGGGACAGACAYAAATCTCTGGAAGAGGGAATGTTTTAGGACTGTGAGGGCAGGACAAAGAGGGAATGATGTTTAACACTCACTTTTGGTTAGGGAACAAATGACAGGAGAAAGGAGACAGCCAAATGCATCTCAGTCAAGCATGCAGCCAAAGTATTTTCTTCTTCAAATGAGTGCACACTATAAGTGAAATGTAATGTTTTTTAAATTACTATTTTTTATTTTGTGGTTTTGAACATTGATTCTGTATGTTTTTTTTTTTTTTTTGTATTTGCTGCTTTTTAATGCATATTAAATCCTTGTTTGAATATTTGAAAAATAAATAGATTTTTTTGTTTCCTACATCACCCAAAATTAATTAATGACTTTTTTAAGGAAAAAAAAAGAAAACAGAACTTAAACTAAAGATATTGACCAACATTTTGTCAACAAAACTCTTTAAACCCTTTTAACCAGAACTTCATCTCAGCAAATCAATTTGTTCTCATTTTTACCAGCAAAGTGATTCAAAAATAGCTGACCTGTGTCAGTTCTTTGTTCAGTGTTTTAGTTTTTTTTTTCTTAAGAGCATCAGTTCCACAAAATAAAGCTCTTTTTTTAGGTCATGACCTTTTTCTTTTGTCTTTTTCTTGTTCACTTTWTTCATTGACTGTAAAATTAATTACGAATAGCAAGTGTTTAAAAAAAGATATTTAGCAAGTCTGCAGACCTATTCTTCAAGACCTTTTAGAAATGTTTTGATAAAATATGTCAAAGTGAAAAATAAAACAAAAAAGAAAATGAAGAAAGATAGGTTTGTAATTTTGCTCTGGAACTCTAAAGAAAAAAGCAGTAGGTCAAATATTGATCCCTGAGGGACACCTTGATCAGTGATCTTGAAATAACTACCTTAAGAAGGTGTTGAACTAGTTTATCTTTTTGTTATTATTTTTTCTATCTCAAGCAACAAAGGGTGACTGGATTTATTTACTGGGTTTTTTGAATGCTCCTATTCTAAGGAGTGTCTGTAATTTTAAACTGAAAAAAGTTCATTATAAAACAAAAAACAAAAGAAAACAGATGGTTTTAGAGAAAGGGGAATGAGACCATCCTTGTGTCTCTCACCAGCTGGCATCGTTTCATAGGACTGAATATGAATGTGGATTTTTATTTATTTAGTTTTTCATGCTGGCATATTGTTTGTTTGTTGTTCCTCATGTATCTATGAAGGACCAAACTGACAAAATTAAAATTAAAAGCAGAAATATATAAATGACCCAATAAATAAATATACACTTAAAATGCACCAATTAAATTTAAAATAAGGGCTTTATTTTTAATAATTTGATTGACCTTCATATTTATTCATCCAGCTTAGTTCCAACATATATACATTTTAACACATGATGTGAATTTCCCAGTATAAACAGTAAAATTTTAATTATGTGTAAATATATTATTTGTTGTAAGTAAGCTGGGAAAAAATATGAAGGTCAATTAAATTCTAAATTTAAATGAATTGGTGAATTTTAAGTGTATTCATTTATTTATTGGGCCATTTATTTATTTCTGCTTTTAATTTTAACTATGCAAGTTTCGGTCCTCCATATTTATCTGTCCAAATACACTTGGTGTATAAAGGCTGAAGCTGACATTGGGATGCTGGAGGCAGCACCCTTTGATTTCAGTGTTGTAGAGTGCAGCCACCATAAATAAGCTCTTAGGGGGTCAGACAGTGTGCGAGGACAAACCAGCTTCTCTACCATTCAGCAAACTCAAATATGTATTGAGATCATGCATGTCATGGTAAATTGTATGTGACTGGATTGGTTTAGAGATGCAGTAGAAGCTTACCSTTCACTGATTGCTGTATTCCTACTGGGTTATTCTTATTAGACAAAAAGAAGCAACCAAATTTGGAGAAAAAAAAAACTTTTTTAGAATAAGGTTCAGCTGCATGTTCAAGTCCAACTAAATTATTTAGGAAATTATAAGGAATAGTTCTGTGTATGAAGTGAATGTATTCCTCAAGAAATGAATTAATGGGTTCCAGTTAATCACTGATTTGGTAATACTTGAATCAAATGGGTAATTGTGTGGAAATATTTATTTTTTTATTTTTTTATGACTATACCTCGGTATCCAAGTATGTTTGCATCTGCAAAACCTTTCATCTAAATTTAGCTTAGTTTTAATATCTGAAGTTTTTTGTTTCCTTTATTTCCTTAAATTTTGTTGTCAAAATCTCATTATAAAGACACAGCATTTTAGCTAATCTTCTTTTTTGGAGGATGAGCTAAAAAGAGGAATTATTTTGTGAAAACACCAACAGAGAGCAGAAGAAAGCCCAACAGTGGAAGCATTGATATTTGAGCTTCAGTCATTGAGTTTAGCTCAGTTGTTTTTAATTATAAAAATAGACTAAAGATCATTCCAAACYTGTTTAATTATTTTGAAGGTGAATACTAGTTTGTTGCTACTTAATCCATTTTCAGAATATCAGGACATAATATGTATTGAATTATTTGTAAAGAGGTAAAAACAATAAAATTTGAGAAAGTTTTGAAGCAGTGCAAGAACATTCTCCCTTAACAAARTGCTAGTAACCAACAGTTATTAAGTGTTCTTTGCAAGGTGAAAAGAAACTGAAACTGTGACCTTGTGTCTCCAAACCTTTCTGGCTGTAAAATTTAACACTTGACAGCAGCACTGGTTACATTTGTCCCACATCACCCTCTTGTGAGTTTGTCCTTTAACCTGTGCCAGCTGTCTAGAGGCAGATCAATAAACGCTAAAACTTGGCAAGCACTTTCTGGTCTCTCTTGAGCTTAAATTAAAAAGAAATAATTTAAAAATATATATTTATCATGTCCAAATAAAGGATTGGGATATCTATGCTAAAACAAAGGTTGAGGGTATCTGGTAGCCAACAGCCTGGTTCTTTTATGTGTAGTTATTTATACATTTGGATCCAAGTAAAAGAAAATTCAAAGCACTTTAAATTAATCCCTCATGGCGACTTGTTCAACTACTGTAAGTCTTTTAAAACTAATAAAATAATAGTCTTGTTTTTTAGACTTAATTTTTGGAGTGGTATTTTGTGGATTTGCAACCAGCAGGCAGCTWTTGCCTGCAGTAGAGAGCAGTTTGAAGCAGGTCTGTTTGGAGAAAGGACAACTTTGTCCGACTGAAGCAAGTTCAAAAATATGTTTCTGCAGTCTCAAAACACCTTCAGTCTCAAGCTTTTTTCTTTTTACAAATAATGTTTTAGACACTGTTGTCAGTATTGCATGGGATTTTTAATTGCATAGAAGACCAATGCTCATGAAATGTTTGTAAAATTGAACGTGTTCAGTGTTACTATGTAATAATAGTGTTTGCCTCATAGCTTTTTTGTTTGTTTGTTTATTCATGGCCTTATTTTTCATCATTATTTAATCAGATATGGCTCCTCCCATTTATATATATATATACTTTTTTTGTGAAATGTGAAAAGGCTTATACCTTTCAACTGATTGGTGGGATTCAATTGGTCAGTGTACAARATGTATTACAGTGTTGTATAAAGTACCACAAAGTGATACTTAAGTAAAAGTGCAAGTATCTTACCAAAAATTAATTTGGTAAAAGTTAAAGTCTCCTTTAGGAACATTACTTGAGTATAAGTCTTAAAGTATCTGATATTTTTATACT